TGTGTAATTGAGAGACGAGAACAGATTGCACTTCTTCTCCAACCACGACCACCTTCCGGTTGCTGCATTCCCATTCGTTGTGCGTGAAAACATGCCGGGCCTTGGTAGAAAGCATCATTCTGAGGTTTGTAGCAAAGCCAATTGGTCTTGTGATGATATCAATTGAGGAAACTCTTCAATAAATGCACTTTGGCACAAAACAAAAGTCTCCGCAACATTGATTGCGAAAGAGCAGAAAAAATAGTGTCAAAGCAATACAGCCAAAGGGGACTGCAACCAATTTGATTTTAACATCCAAGACTGTCTTCAAAATTCCTCTTCGCGCCATGCCCAGCACCGAGCCTTAAGGCGAACGGCGGAAAATGAGGCGTGCCGAATTTGAAATGTAAGCTCAAGCCCAGCCGCCACCTGGGCCTTCAAGTGAGAAAGGAGAAATCGATACCAATGCCGATCGATCCGGTCAGACAGGGCCGTGTGCAGACACCGGTTCACAGCTCTTCGTGGTGAGATGATTGAAAGAATTTCGGCGCCAAAACGGGCCATAAAAGAAACGGCGCCGAAACGAGCCAAAAGAACAATGGCGCCAGATTTGGCCGTTATTCTATTCTTCTCAAGACCGAAAGTTTCGTCATCAGTAGAGGCACCGGAGAGAGCAAGTGACCCGCTCGCCGGACAATTGGCGACAACCAGAAAGTGTGCTCCGATTTCGCTGCCTACTCTCCGTCAGACCTGGAGGCTCATTCACAAAAAGGGTGGTCGGCAAAGCGGAACAGTCTCTTGTGCAACGGTGAGAATTGACGGAGCCGATCGCGGAAACCGGACACGAGCTGGAACTGGCGCCAACGCCTCGGTCTGTTGACAGACGCTAGTAAAGTTAGTAAATCGGGGAGCACTTGTAATGACAGCAACGAGCGGTAGTGACGGAGCTAGCAACCGCTCTTCGAATTGGATTGGTCTCCGTTTGGCAGCATAAAGAGAGGCTGGGTTTCGAAAAATGCCTTAATATGTAGTTCGGTTGACAAATCGGATAAAAGGAAGAGAGAGATGGAGAGATGGAGTGTGTATTGCATACACACCAAAACCAATCCCAGGATTACAGGATCATATGCTGGTTTATAGAAGTGGGTTGACCTCGTTGTCGCAACTTGGTCTTGTTGTCATGGAGACCATGTAGAACGCACCTAGTCCGAAGTC